TTGCGGGCGTTACAATTATCTCCCCCTTAGGATGATTACGTCCCGGAATCATCAACAAAACAGGGTCGTATAATGACTCCATGCATCATCTCTTCATCCTAGGTAATAATTATAACTTCTACATTCCTTCAAGTCTATCTCTTAATCTCATTGGCTGTAAGAGTATTCGATCGTGAACCTGCTCTCTACCACAGGCTAGATTCCCAATTATGACCTTCAAGTCACAATCTCAATCCTTACTAGATACGAACTTGAGATGATTTCTATTATTACTACTATGGATCGATGTGTCATATTCTAATGACCTATCATCGTATGTTGCAACACTTAGACTGAGGTCTCTTAGAGTTAAACAAGCTATGCCTTCCTTCATGTTCTAATGTGATATAATCACACTTTAACATTTTGCATTTCTAGCTATCAACTTCTTTAACAACGAGTGCGATACTTCTATTGATCGCTTTGATTTCAACCGTTTGGTTTAAGTCGGACGCTACATCAAACTTGGTTCTCTAAACCATGTAACCTATTCATCGTAGTCGGACTCAATGGGATATGACCACTAGGGTCAGAATATCAGCAATCTTCTTATTCATTACCGAAACAATGGTAACAACACACTTGAATAAAACGAAATCAATTACTAGCTTCTTGGTAACCTTGTGACTTTCCCTGATCCAAGTGTGAGTCCTGTGCTTCCGGTAGTATAGGCCTCTACTACCATTCAAACCTACTCATACTCATCCCAAGTATTGTCCCGCAGTTTCTCCAAGTCACTATACAAGAAAAAAAACAACTTAACACATCAGATAACAAAACAAAGGTTTCATATTATTTCTTGAAACGATTACATAGGTGTTGAAGTTCACCCTAGACTATGCCTCTAACAGGCTACATCATATGATTCTATGGCTACTTAATAACTCGATCCTTGGATGTCAAGCCGTCATTCCCGAATCCTTGCATTGTCATCTGCTTCATCTAGGATCATATGGAATGCTCTTGCCTTCGGTTTTGGCGGAATGTTTGGTTTTGCCGCCTCTTTCTTTTTCGGGTAATCCTTAGCAACATGCCCTTCTTCACGGCATTCATAACACACCCTTTTGCACTCGTTGGCGTAATGTCCGATCTTCCCACACTTGTAGCAAGTCACTTCTTCGCTACATTTCCCAAAGTGATTCTTTTTGCACTTCTCGCACCATTTCACTTTGTTTCCTCCTCCGCTAGACTCCTTTGAACCAGACTTGATCTTCTTATTGGGCCTCGTAGATTCCTCAAACTTCCTCTTTTCGCCAACCTCAATCTTGTTGGCAGCTCTTCCCTTAATCATATCTTCCACAGACTTGGCAGCCCAGATAGCTGCCTCCAGAGTAGGTGCCTGACGCACTGGCACCGCGTACTCCCATGGAAGTCCCTTTGCGTACTTGTCGATTTTCGTCAGCTCATCCGGAACAAGACGAAAGGCAAACTCCATCTTTTCTGTGAAGTTGTTCGTGTATTCATCGATTGACATGCTTCCCTTCTTCAGGGTTAGAAACTGGTTCTCCAGCTTAAGCAGGTTTTGAGCTGAGCAGTACTTTCGTTTGAATTGCACCAGAAATTCTACCCATGTCAGTTGCAGGGGCTCATTAGGGCTCAGAGTCTTCCCCAAGGTATTCCACCAACGTACAGTGCCTCCTCGAAACTGACGCACTGCAAATGTGGTCTGTAGCTGCCCTCTGCAACCGCATGTCATGAAGGCTAACTCCATCTCCGAGATCCAATCCATGACCCCGATCGGATCCTCCTTTCCAGTGAAAGTCGATGACTTGCAATCAGAAAATCCTTGTACTTGCATCCATTCCTCTCGACTTCGTCATCTTGGTTGTTTTGTCGAACTATTGGTGGGTTGACTTGACCAACAGTCCCACTGTAGTTTCCTTCCTCAGTCTGCCCTTCGTTCAACTCGGGCTGTTCGATCTGAATAGTGGCTTCCTCACGATTTTGCTGGAGCAAACGTCTAGTTTCCTCCATTTGACGATCCAACATCGCTTGGATCATCGCTTGCACTCCGGCCATCGTTATTGGCTCAGCAGCGGCTACCACAACCGGTATTTGCTCAATCACTGGGGCTGGTTTCGGTTCCCATTTGCATTCACGTTTCCGCTACGGGTTCTTGCCATCTTGATCTATACACCGAATAAGGTGAATCTAGACCTTTTACTTAGGATTGACGGTTAAATCATCCTTATCACTCCGAAACGTTTATATTATAGTTCTAATATCGTAGTTAAACGCCTAGAATCCTAAACACATAAGGTTTCCAGATCCGGTCGGCAACAGACCATAGATCCGAACAAATAACAGCATATCAGGCACAAGTATTTAGCACATAAAAGCATTTTAGGCACAATTCCTAAAATAATCTAGTGCTCACACCTCACAATCATCGCTTAGCATTCTAAGTTTAAGTTTAGAAATAAATCCATATTCCTAGTTCGCTTAAACTAATGCTCTGATACCAACTGTGACATCCCCAAATTCACGGCCAGAAAAGACCGATTTTGTTTATGCTTTATAAAAATCAGAGTACTTCATTTTATAAAAATGTTGCGGAATTTGTTCCCAGAAAAACATGGTAAATACGTTATTAAAACATTTTCGAAGAAACATATTTATTTCATTTTAAAACGTTTGGGATGTCATCGTTAATACAGAAACATAAGCATAAACAGAACTTACAATTATTTACACTAGTGATCTACATCTCTTTAAATCTCTCAGTGTATTGTGACTTCATATCAACACCTGTGATATAAATAAACTGAGTGGGTCAGGTTGGGAAACCTGGTGAGCACATAGGGTTTTCAACCCACAATAATATAATTATTATTTTTAAACATCAAACAATCAACCCAATTACCCATTCCCGTTATCCTCACATTACGTCCCTAAAACATCTAACACAAGGGACCTAGTCAAAGGACTATCATTGGGATGGAGTATATCTGGTGAGCACACAGTTCACACAGTTCGAATAAACATACAGTTCGGTTAAACACATAGTTCGAATAAACACCTACAGGTTGCGAGCCTGTTAGTGTTCCACTGGACTGTCTAGAATAGTCCGTGGTCGTCATCTATTCTCCGCTAGATGACTAGATCATCAAGAACATATATAACGAGGCATCTCATTATTTCATTTTATCACACAGAAACTAATACATCTACCCATGTTTTACCCAACACATTTTGTAGATATAAAATACATATACAGTTTAAATCATTGAAAACATGTATAAAACGTTCATCCAGCATAGATAGCAAGTATATAGATAATATACACACACAACACATAATTTATATAAAATACTTCATATCTATGTGTAAGCTGAAAGTAACTATGCACTCACTTGAGTAGGTGGTGATTCAGCACTCGGACAGCGCTTCGATACTCTCAAAACGATATTCCTTCGATAAAACCTAGTACCGATACCACTAGGGTTTAGTTTAACGATAACCGCGCCACATTAATCAGTTTGACTATTATTAAGCGTTAATAATGCAAAAAATATAACTCATAATAATAGCTCAAATAATTATTTTAAGGACCTAATAACATTCCTATAATTATTTGAAAGCTATATTAAAAATTGCGTAAGCGTAGCACACTTACAGCGAATTTTATCGAAAACCGGAACTTAATTGGAGCAGCGTTTCGAAACCGAAAAACTCCTTTTTCTCGGGACTCCGAGAGCCTCGGGGCTTTCTTAGGGTGCTAAGGGGTTTTTATAGGGTTTAGGGGAGGTTTGGAACTCTAGAGAGAGAAAGAAACTAGAGAGAGAAGTGGAAATGGTGTGAAAAAGTGTGAAAAACCCGGAGACCCTCACCCCCTTTTAATAGCTACAAGGCCTCAGACTACGCGGGGCGTAATCCTCAGCTACGCGGCGCGTTCTCTCGGATAAGGATGCCAGCTTCGCACCAGCTGGCTCGCACCCATTCTTGGACCCGGACCAGATCAAGTACGCTGCGCGTACCCAGCTTCGGATGCGGGGCGTACTCCGAATGCTAGGCGTCTCTTCGCTACGCTGGGCGTAACACTCGCACCAGGTGTCATCATCCGAAGCGGTTTCATCCGACGGCTGGGAGTTCGGCCACGTCATCACTTCATGCATCAGTTTCGCAAGTTCCCTTTCCAACTTTAAAAATTCATAACTTTCGCGTACGACCTACGTTTTCGACGTTCTTTATATCCACGCGAAGGTGGGAACGTACTCTACAACTTTCGTTTAGACACCGTCGGCTAATTTTGGCTCGATTTTAAATTTTATATTATTTACGGGCCGGGACACGATTGGTCCGTTAAATCCTCATAACTTCTTCATCTGACATCCGTTTTCTCCCATCTTTTTCTCGTTACGCTACTCTCAACATGATCTTCGATTCTTGTTTAGGTCGTGTCGGCTAAAAATCACTCGATCTAATATTCGAATTTCGGGCTGTACACTGCTATTTCGAAACTTCGAAAAATCATAACTTCTTCAAACGAAGTCAGATTTGGGTGTTCTTTTTATCGATGTTCTTAGTTTAACATATTCTACGACTTCCGTTTAGATCGCTAAGGCTAAATCTCGCTCTATCGTAAATTCACTATTTATGCTTTCCGGTATCGTGCCTGTTCTGTCGCGAAACTTCGACGGGTCATAACTTCTTCGTTATAACTCGGATTTCGGCGTTCTTTATATGTACAGAAACCTTGTGACATATACTAAAACTTGGTTAAGATTATTTATTCTAAATAATCTTTTGTCGAAAAGTCATTTTTTTGACCCCTATTGCCTCTAATTTGACTAGCCCGGATTTGCGGGCGTTACATCCACACTACGGATTGGATCTAAAAGTGTCATAAAAGCCCACCACATCCACAATTGACAAATTGTCACATACATAGATCACAATCTTTTGTTTGTGGAAAAGACGTGAACGCCCTTCTCGTCCTCATTGTGTGAATTGTCAAAATATTAACTCAAGTAATATACCTGTGATAAGAAGCCATCAAGTGAGAGTCTTTCCAAGGCATTATTCTTAGCTGCATTTGCATATGGTGCTTCATTCCAAGGACTGAAATGTATAAAATTTGTGAAATAAAGAATGAATGTCCATGAACAATGTTAACAATATTTAAAAAATACTTGAATAGAATAATTAAAGTAATAAGTTGAATATATGAATATACTTTTCGGGTGCAGTAGAAAAAAGATCCTCCAGCTCAAGTTCGTTAAGAGCCCATCCTGATTAAAAGAATCATATTTTTAGTATCTTGAGATTACAATACTGACCCCATGGAGATGACATCTTCTACTTCTGAACAAAATGCCATGCAATCTTGTCCAAGTCCAATTGTGTATTTTCCTTTACTAACTCCATCAAAATCCTCTAGAGTATCCTGTAAAATAAAGTAACAAATAAAGAAAATGTTTTATTTAAGGTGACACAATTTGTAAAATAAAGTAACAAATAAAGAAAATGTTTTATTTAAGGTGACACAATTTATATTTAAGATCTTGCTTTCAAGTAAATGTCAGAGAAAGACTGAATAAATAGTTAAATACAATGCATCAATGTCTTCTGCTTTACTTACACAACATACATAGAGAAGAACTAAGCAATCAACTATAGTCTACACTAACTTATAAGATAAAAGTTAAAACAGATCAAATAGTGTGTAAATTACTTAAAAGTCCATGTCTTTGAAGGTATTAACTCCAAAGTTATGCACCTTCTTCATGGGATGTGTAAAGTACTAAAGTTGCAACTTTTAGTTTTTTAGCAAAATTTCACACCAAAAGCTTTATCTCGTTTTAAATATCAGTAATCAATGTTGATGGCATTGATTTTGATCCACAAGATTCCTCATATTTTTGTTGTACTAATTGATAACATCAAGTGCAAATTTGAACATTCTGCATATATATTGTGTGTTTAAAAAGGTGTGCATGTGCAACTTCCATAAATTAGTCATGCTTATGTATAAGAACTCTATATTTGACCTTATACGAGGCATACAAAATTGCTAACAGTATCCTGACCCTGAGTAAACACTAAGTCGAAAACCCCTAAAAAAATGTATTCGTTTTAAGGTTGTTTACCATAGCTCACAAGAATTAAAGGCTTAGATTTTTTTTTCTCTCAAAAACATAAAGCAACTTCAAGACTCTGGTCATAATCATGTTGGCATGAATAACTTAACAAAACGCAAATAGCCACAAAATCCATAAGATTGTAAGATTATCCGTTTTAGATCCATTTTGCATGTGCAACTACCCATCAATCTTCAGAATAATTTAATATTAACCCAAAAAAGACATGTCCTTTTGCACTAATCGATGTTACAAAAAGCAAAATCCAATTGTACGATAACAGCAGGCAATGATTAACAGAGCCCATACGAACAGATTTTTCAAACATATAATAACAAAAGGAAAAGAAATTCAAGCCAAATGATGTGAAGGAGTATTATATAGTATAAGAAAACAATGGGAATAAAAAATTGAATTGATAGAAAAGAAATACCCTAGCATAGGTAGTGTTGAATCCAACCAAATCGAGCGCCTCATGGAGAACAAATTTAAGGGTATAATGGACCTTTCTCTTGTGTTCATCGACATTTGTGGCAAACCTGAGCCGAGTATAGCAAAGACTTATAAACAGTAACATGGATTGTACATCGTGTTATAAAATGTATACCTCTTAATTTTCAAAAAATGGGTAATATCCTTAATAAGATAGTAAAGATGTATGCAGATTACAATTTTCATTAAGGGATCATATTATATTGACAAATTAATAGAAAGTAAAAACAGGTCAAATAAGCTATAAATTAGTCAAAAAAAAAATCTTTAAATATTTATAAATTATAACTTTTGTTCACCCGATACATCTTAAAATGAATAGGAGTCGTCTGGTAGGTTTGGTGCCTGATACGATTTCATCATCTTCACCTTGAGGTGGTAAAACTAAAAAGAGGAACAGTCAAAATTAGGGCTTTTACAACAGAATACTTTAACTATCGTCTGATTGAATCAATGCCATGGCCTCCCACATGGAAATGTTTGAATAGTTTGGTCGAATCAGTGGCGGAACCAACTTGTAGCCAGGGGTAGCCTGTGCTACTACTAGATTACCCAGGTGCTACTTCTCAGACCTTGCAAAGGAAGATGACTTGATGAAGAATCATATGAGTACGTGTTCTTAAACCACTTTATTCTCAAAATTATGATTTTGTTAAAATTGGTTCTTCAAATAATCACTTTCACACTCAAAATCGATTCAATGTTTATTCAGGAAGACTACCTGATCGATTCAATCTTAACCCACTTTATTCTCAAAATTGTGCTTCCCTTTTCTTAGGAACTAGAGATTTATTCAAAGATATCCTAACGTTTGCTTTGAAAGAGTCAAAGCTGACTCAACAATATCATATCCTTTCCCAATTCATTTTTGACTTGGATTTCAAATGGGTTTCTGTTTTTTTTTTTTTTTTTTTTTTTTCATAATCAATCTCATCTACTAATAAGTTTTAATTCATTTGGGTAATCCTTATTGCTGGAAATTGGTAAGTACTAAGGGTTATTTCATTATGCCTTACAAGTGTTTGATGTTATGGCTAAAGGACTAGAACCTGTAAATATTTCCTTAGTTTGGGTTAAAACTGTAAATTTGGAGAAGGTTAATTGAGAGAATGGTGTAAGGTTTTGTGGTGTTGGGTGTATTGTGTATTATTTTGTTTATTGCAGGGACTGTGGCTCAATTCCTGCTAACTTAGAAAACACGCAGATCTTCAAGGATGGGTTTGGGTCGGATAAAATCCGGTTTCGATCATGTATATTACCCGAAATATATATTTGTTGTTCCAGTTGTTTTGGAGTCATTAGATCATTTTTAAGACACACATACGCTTGAGTCTTCCTATTCTCTCGTCGTCTTCTTCAGATTAGGGTATTGATCTGTTTAGGGTTTGTTTTATTCTTGTTGATTTTGTTTTTGTAAAATATTAGATCTGTTAATTTCTTCTTATACATGTTTCAGTGTGCGTGTTTGTGTAGTGACGTTAAGTTTCTCAAAACCAACTGAAAAAAAAATAAGATATGTTGATGTTGTGATTAGATCTGCTGTTTACATTTTTGACATGGTATCAGAGCGAGCCATAAGAATTGAATATTAAATCTTTGAGGAAAAGCTTCACATCTACAGTAGACATGGATGAGGATGATGATGAGACTTGGGAAGTTGGGAGTTGGGAAGATGAGATTGCTGATGGAGAAGAAGAGGAAGATGATGGCATACAACCACTCTGTTTTTTGCAATTCTAAATATGTAATTCACTCACTGTTGGCTCTTCGAGCCACGATTTTAAATTTGGAAGCATCAAAACTACAATAAACCTGGATTCTATGGTTGTTTCAAGGTAGCTCCTGAACTATACAATAAACCTTGATTTTGTGTTAATCGAGCATGAAATCTTGAGGGGCAAAAAGAAGGAAGAAAGATGAGTCTTTGAAACATATAAATTGGTCTCCATCTCCTTGGCTGTATATTACTCGTCTTTCCATATATACCTCTCCATTGGTACATGTACTTTCGGATCAAAAGATCATCAATTTTTATGGAACAAATTAAGGATCTCTTCATGACAATTTTTGCGGTTGGGCATATTGTGAACTCCGGAACCCCATCTCTTCATGCTACCACAATTTCTCACCTGGATAAACTCCAAAGAAGGATATTTGACTGTAGAATCCCCAGAGTAGAAGCTCTTTAGTTGTGGCAAAAACCTAAGTTCAATATGGGTAAGTCTAGGGAACTCAATGTCATTATCAGTTGTTTGCTCATCTCCACCGGAAATCACTACCATCAAACTGTTACACCTATAAATCCCTAACCTTCTCAGATTGGAAAGCCCTTGTGCTACACTTAACGGAAATACCGTCAACAAGGAATCACAACCTGAAATTTCAATGGCTTGTAGATTACGCAAGCTTATAAATTGAAATGAACAATCAAAAAGAAGCTTCAGGTTCTTAAGGTCAGTCAGACGGATTTGTTCCACTTGGGAGAAATACTTTTCCTTTGTTGTTTTCCTTTGACCAAGCATCAGATCATTGGATGCAACAAAAGTTTGCGTTGCCTTCACCAAGCATGAAACATTGTGACAACATTTCAATTGAATAGACTTTAATTTAAATTCATTAATACTCTCTCCATAAAGGTCTGGTATGATGTTATCCAAATCTTTTATCTTCATTAGTAATATACCATCACTTACCCGAAACAGTTTCTTGATTGGCATACTGAATGGGAAGTTAGAATGTGAAATGTGTAGTCGACGTTTTAAATATGATCTTGATCGCTCCAAATCACTAATATATCCGTCATGGTTTTCAAAAAGCAATCTCTCAAAATCAATAAGCCTTTGGTTAATAAATTGAAAATAGAATTCTTGCAACATTTCGAAGTAGGTACCTTCAGGAAAAATATGACATTCATCTGAATCCATCCATAAATGCAGAGCTCTGAACGATTTCAAGTTACTTATTTCCATAAGACCAAGGTCAGACACTGAGTGTGTCGCAAGGGTTCCAATATACAACTCTTCCAACCAAGTAAGCTTTGATATGACACCCGGTGTCACATGAGATAAATAGCGACAGTCACCCGCATCCAACAGCCTTAAGTTGGTCACTTGACCGATCTCTCCAGGAATCACTTTAATTCTGGTACCTCTAACCTTTAGAATCTCAAGGTCTTTTAACTCCCCAAGTAGAGAAATTTCATAAAGGGATTCATTCCAACTTAGATCTAGCGTGATGAGTTTTGTGAGCAGTTTCACTGATTGTGGGAGGGATGTGATATTATTGAAAGACATATCTAAAACTTTAACTTCTTTCATGCCTCCAAAGAAATCATCAGGAATCATGGAAAGACCGTTGTATCGTATAAGAAAAGTATCAAGGAGTGGGAAATGAAGCTCATGATCTGGAAGCTTACGAATTATATTACTCATGAGTGAGATCTTGGTGTAGCTTTCTGAGGTTCTGTTTCTTGGTTGCCATTCTGTCATACATTTTCCAGCCTCCACTAAAAACTTCTCTTTCTCTTCACCTTCAGAAGACGAAGTTATTAACAAAGCGACATCACGAACAACATCGTGCATTTTTACTTTGTCTCCCGGCTCAGGCAATAACAAGGAAGAGGATGTGAGGGTGTCAACTGCCATTCGGACTCTTTTTTCCGCGTCGTTAATGCTATCCAGATTATCAAATATCTGCAGACCCACCCCATATTCTGCTAAACGTAAAGTATCTAGGATTTCATCTTCCTTGAACAAACTACACAGCAAGAAGATTGATTTAGCTTCTTTGCTATCAAGTAAGTCATAGCTCAGCTTCAAATGAGTAAATGCTTTCCTTATCTCTTGATCGATCTCTAGAGGGGCATGCTTTCTTAGTCGGTTAAGTGCCGCCTCCCAAATATCAATTTTTTTATTTTTTAAAGCATTTCCCGCCGCTTGAATGATGAGTGGCAATCCGCCACATTCTTCAGTCACCTCTTTTGCAATTTTCTCCAGACTCGAGTCATTCGCTAACTTTCCATCACCAACAATACGTTTGAAGAGGACCCACGCTTCTTCCTTTTTCAAAGTGTTTACACAAATATTCCTATCAACATTCATCCCTTCACCTACATCCATCCTTCTAGACGTCAACAAGATCTTGCAATTCATGTGCTCATTCCCACATGGTATGCCCACATCAGAGAGGACTACTGGTTCCCATATGTCATCTAAAATGATTAGAACCTTCTCCTTATTAATCATTATCCGCTTTGCAGCTTTTTCAACATTTTTTTGAATCTCTTTAACGTCTACAGTCTGTGAGACAGTTATAAACACAATGTCTGCAAATAGATTCTTCACTTCTGCAGCAACTTCCTTGGCTAATGTAGTTTTCCCTACACCTCCTGATCCATAAATTCCAACCATTTGTATGCTCTCATCTTTGATAGCTTGAATGATTTCCCTCAACGCCAACTTGTGGGTATCAATATCATCAAGATTCTTTGTTTGGTAGAGGTCTACAAATCTTGGGGTGGGAGTTGGAATGGAGACACAAGATTCATGAGTTTTGCCATCTTCTTGATGCTGCAGAAGAAAAGAGGTCTTGTTTATTGCCATCTTACTGTAATGGTGTAGGGTGCTCAAATTGACACAAGGTCGTAAGTTGAAGCATGTCTTTTTAGCATGTGCTTCTTGTTCAAGAAATTCTTCCACCTTGGACATTTCAATTTCTGCCTTGTCCATCCAGTTCTGCACACCAGCTAAGAGAGCTTCTCCATTTTCTTTAGCTGCATTGATTCGTTGTTGAATCCTATCCCTCATATCCCTGAGCTTTTGAGCTTCATTCTTCAAGATGTCAACATTTTTAGTGTAATTTCGGATGTAATCAATCTCCCGTTTAGCCCCACTAAACAACAAGTCCACTATTTTCCCAGCCACAGTATTAGCGACCTCCTCCGCCATTGTAGCTAGGTTACTTTTCTTTTCTGATGGTTTGGATTCGTTAGATATGAAAAAAAGATTATGATTACCCAAAAACCGAAGGCCTGACTATGAATTGCACAAAAGTAAAGATAACAGTGTTTGTTTGGCAGTTTGGCTTACAAACGAAGAGTATGATAATGCAAGAATGGAAGACGGTAGCTAATGATAAAACAAAAAAAGCTGTGACGATAAGAGTGAATACTATTGAACACTTTCAGAGTGTTTGATTGGTTTACAAAAGAAGATAAGATAAGAGTTACTGTACACAAAATGATAGGTACCTTCTATAGATTACAACTCACAATGCTAAACATTGAAGTACAAATTTGGTCACTTAAATTTTATTATAAAAATAACAAAGTTGTGATATCATCGGGTTTAGGTTTAATAAAGAATAGAAAAAAAAATACAAGTAATAAAATAAAATTATGAGTGAGCACCGGAATGCATACTATTATGAAACAATGATGTATATTTCTTACCTGAAACATGCAATGAATTATAAGCAAAATATTATTTCATTTTTTATTACTTTGTTAAAACTTTCCAGGCTTACTTCTATAACAAAAAAAAAGTATATCAAAATTATTTCTATAAATAAACATTCATATAGATTTATTGGGTGGTTATGTGTGATAGATGTATTTTAAATTTGATTAATTTTAGTTTAAAATTTTCTAAGAAAATTACGAGTGTTAATAAGTATAATTCAGAGTCAAAACTTTTGATTGGTTAGATTAGCATTAGACATGCATGTAAGGATGTAAGTCACGGTGTTGGACTGTTGGACCATAATCATCGTTGGATCGATTCCATTATGTTCATCATTATTAAAATAAGTATGTTTTCTTATAGAATCTTAAAATAAAATTACTAAATATGAGTAAGTTTTCATTTTATTATCCAAAAGATATATTATTGGTAAAAATATTAATGAAGAACAAGATTATGATAATAATCAAATAAATTCTATCGAAGAAACTATTGATGGTATAAAACAAAGTATAAATGATCGGAAAATACAAAAACAAATATAGATACAATATACAAAAGAGTAACATTTGATTACTTTCAAAGTTACTCAATCAAAACGACAACAGAACAAACATTATCACTAAAATCCGTTTTAGAACATAGACAAAAATATATATTTCTTCATATAGGCTTAGTACAAATTGTTATTAAACTTTTATTTAGAATTGGTATTGATGGTCCTGTTCTCCTAATTTTAAGAGATAAAAAGGCATGAAATTTTTCAAAATTCTATTTAAGCTATGGCAGAAACAAATATTACAAACAGACTAATTTATTTTAATTGTTATCCAAATTTTTCTATAAGATTATTTGATAAAAATATATTAGATACATTGGTAACAGTAAAAACAAAAAATTTAGAAATTAAAGATAAAACTAAACCTTTAGCAATAATCTATTGTGTTTGTTATAAGATTATGACAACCACTTAAGAACCAAGAACTCGTTTATAAAATCCAAGAAAGGAAACAATTATTTTTGAAGTAAATACAAATCATACTAAGGTCCATATGCCTAAAAGGCTTAAATGGTAAGAAATTGCCCAATCATGTAACTAGAATTTGCAAAACGTTGTTGAGCACAAGGCTTTAGGTTCTTCAAAGAAAATCTCTAACATAGTTGAACATAATGATGGATCATTTGATATAAATATTTCTTCTATAAATTTTTATTATCACGTTTTTCAACAAGTTCAATTCCAGAACTTAGCACTTCAAAACCTGCGTTTTTAAAATCAAGGTCTTTAAAACTAAAAACTGTTGATTATACTAATTATATTCCAAAACCACTTTATCAAGATGAACAAAATAGTGAAACTAGGTTATCTAGTCCCATTAAGATGGTGTTTGGATAGGGAAAAAATAGGGAGCTTATAGCTTATTGCTTATCCCTACCGCTATAAGCGAAGTTTAAGTTTTTGGATAGGAAACACTAAAAATTAGCTTATTGTGGTGGGGATAAGCTAAATAAGCTAATTTTAAAAAGCATCCCCCTTCCTTATGGTTTATTGCTTATTTCTTGTCACACCCTCAAACATGAACGGCAGAAACATTCGGGGGCGGAGGACGTCATGTACAGTATCATAACAATTGAATAGTAAAGAAAGTACACACCACCATAATATATATTTGAAAGGTTTACATGATTTTTATATTACATGTTTCAAAAGTCAAATACAATATGATGTTCCAAAAGTTGTTACTAACGCCAGAGCATTAGTCCCCAAAAGTAGTTGCTAACCTGATGTTTAGCGATGTCTCGAGAATACAAGTTATTTCAAAGAAAAAGTGTAAACAATTAAGTTGGTGAGTTCATAAGTAGATATTTGTGTAAATGTATGTCATTCAAAAGTTCACGTTTGTTTTCCAGAAAATCCGATATTTTCTTATCGAATGAGTTATGAATCGATGTTTGTATGAAATGAATGTATTGAACCAGGAAAAACCTATATTTTCCTAAAAGTGAGAAGTAGTCTTAAATGTCCAAGACTGTAACTTGTAAGCAAATATGTCATGCTTAAAATGATGATGTATAGTTTTATTATAAATCAAAACTATAGGAAGCTTGTAGTTGTACGTAAAAGCAACTGTAATATTACTTTTCCCGTAAAAACATAATACCATAATAATTGTCTATCCTGTGAGTTTTCATAACCGTACTATGATGGATTTGCCTGTAGCGACGTTCTTCAGGCTTCTAAATGTTATGATATTTGTCACCCCGCGGACTGTAGCTAACAGTCAGGGCGCGAAATCATCAGTCTCGTATAGATCTATACACACTTATCACGTACTCCGGGCGGAGACTCTGGTTATAAAACATGGCTTTCTTGTATACCTTGATAGGTACGATGAAGACGAATAACTCACATATTCTCAATTAATTCACGTATTTTGAAATGTATATGTTTATTTCCAAAATGATTACCCTTTTTACAGTATTGATAAAGGCATAATAACGATATGTATTTTCTTTGTACAAAACGTAATGTTTATACTTGAAAGGTTACCCTTGGTATGATGTAGTATGCAAACATATAAATAAAACATATTGTATCCCATGAGGGTAAAGTTGTGATGTGTGATGTTTTGCATGTTAACAACTTCATATGATACTTAATACAATAGTATGAAAGTATAGCAAAAGATTGATGTTTTCACACGAGTTTTACCATGTGTTTACTTGTATCCCCCCCCCCCCCTAAAAGTGTTTAAATACATTTAAAAGTGTAGTGATATGGGTATGAACTCACTTGGTAGAAGTGATGATTTGATGAAAACAATACTTTGCTCGGGCAGCACTTCGACCGGAAAGACGCCGATTTCTCGAAAATCTTAAGAACTTCGGGACTTCGGGCCTCCGTCAGGGCTTCAACACGTAACCAGGGCGTCGGGGTAGTCCCGGGATGCTTAACATAGAGTAAAAGTAGAAAGGGAAGTAGAGTTGAGTAGCCTAAACCCGAGACCCTCGGTTTCTATTTATAGGTAGTGATTTTGGAGCTCACGTCGTAAGCATGGAGTGGCTCACGTCGTGAGGTAGATCCTATCCATCTACTGACTCGACTTCTGACAGCTCGACGTTGGACCCTATTCATCCCTGGTTCACGTCGTGAGTCCTCTGATAGGGTGGGAATTCGTGTCCCGAACTTCAGAAATTCATATCTCTCGCATACGAGCTTCGATTTTGATGTTCTTTATATCCATGCGTAGGTGAGATTATGCTCTGCATCTTTCGTTTAGACTCCGTCGGCTAATTTTGACTTTATTTGTAAAATAATATTTTTAACAGGTCGGGACTGAAAAAGTCCGTTAAAAATCAATACATTCTTCATCCGACGTTCGTTTTCATCTGTCTTTTTACCGTTGTACTACTATTGTCGATGTCTTCGATTCTCGTTTAGGTTGCGTTGGCTAAAATTCGTTCGATCTCTATTTCGAGTTTTTAGCTGTCTACAAGGTTGTAAAAATCGCTCGACCTTAGCTTGTCGATGGACTAGGGTCAAGGGATTAATCGGTTAGGCGGAGATTAATCGGGGACCATTAATTGCTAATTTGTAAGATTTTAAACAATTAAATATGACTAATATCATATAAAAGTTCATAAATACCACTAATATCATAACCAAATAGATTAATACGATAAATACAACACTAATCATACCTCAAATAGTTTCTATTCAGATATAACTTCTTCAAAGTGTTAAATTTTTATCGGGTTCTACTATTTCAGTCATTTTGTATGCATGGATTAATCGCTAGGCGCTCTCTAATCGGTCAAGTAGTGCATAGGGATTAATCGCAGATTAATCGGGACCTAATCGCGATTTTTACAACATCGGCTGTCTACTACTATATCTGAAACTTAGGAAAATCATAACTTCCTCATACGAAGTCAGATTTTGAAGTTCTTTTTATGTACATGTATGGTTTAATGATATCTACGACTTTCATTTAGATACCTAAGGATATAAAGCATTTTATTGAAAGTTTGCGTTTTATGCTTAACAGTGTTTTACCGGTATTGTCACGGATCTTCGATCGGTCATAACTTCTTCATTATAACTCGGATTTCAATGTTCTTTATATTTTTGGAAACCTAGTTATGGTCTCTACCATTTTATCTAACCCAATTGAGATTTTTGAACAATTAATATTTTTGAACAATTTATTTTTGACCTGAATTTGACTGGTGTTACATTTCTAATCCAAATACTTTTACAAAAACTGTTTTCCCTCACCTCTATAAGCTAATTTATCCAAACACCCTCTAAATATGATTTTGTAGATTAACTTAAAAACGACGAACAACAATTATGAGTAATAATTTTCAGATATATTGTAATTCTAAAAATCAAAATTTAGTTAGTTAACTCAAAACTTTTTGGAGACTACTAATGAAACCACAATAACTTTAAAAGAAATATAAGATAAAAAAATATATTTGTT